CGAAAATCGCGGAGACATTTCGAAAATACTTCTCTGATTTATACGACCACTCCCCCCAACACAGACACAGAACCGCATCCACACCTTCCTAGAACGAGCACAGCTGCCCACACTAGCAGACAGCGCAAAAGCACACCTCTTCATAGACATCTCTAAATGGGAGGTGGCAGCCGCAATAGGGGCCACCAAGCCCAATAAAAGCCCGGGCCCAGATGGATACTTGGGCATATATTACAAAACATTCCATGACATCCTCCTGCTCCATATGGTACGACTGTACAATTCCTTTCTACAAGGACACCCACTCCCTAAAGAGATGCTACAGGTCAACATCTGCCTCCTACCCAAACCCGACAAACCCCTCTCAGACCTGGGCCACTATAGGCCAATATCTCCATTAAACGTTGATGTTAAAATATTCACGAAGATACTCACTAACAGGCTCCTGCCATTCATCACCACACTGATCCACCCAGACCAGGTTGGCTTTATCCCCACCCGCCAAGCCAGCGACAACACAAGGAGGATGCTGGATCTGATCTAGGTGGCCAACCGACGCTCCATCCCGACACTACTCCTATCCCTAGACACCGAGAAGGCATTTGACAGACTGCTCTGGCCATTCCTTTTCGCAACCCTAGAGAAACTTGGATTTCCCAAACCGTTTCAAGATGCATTGCGGACAATCTACTCCAACCCCACTGCCAACCTTCTCATACCCAATACGAATCCTCCATCCTTCTCCATATACAACGGTACGAGACAAGGCTGCCCACTATCCCCTGTCCTATCCGCACTCTCCCTTGAACCCCTACTACAGCTCATCTGCAACACACCATCAATGACACAGGTAATACAATCCGCACACAAACCTACAAAGCAGCAGCATATGCAGATGACCTCTTATTGTCACTTACAGACCCGCTGCACACGCTCCCACCACTCCTCCAGCTCTTAGACGACTAGAGGTCTCGGGGTACCGGCTGAACCTCGACAAAACCGAAACACTGATGCTGAATATGGACGCAAACCATAAAAGCCTACTAAGAGACACATACACCTTCAAATACAAAACCTCACATATCTCGTATCTGGAAATTGCACTACCAGCGGACCTACACCGCACAAAAGCCTTAAACTACACTCTGATGATACAAAAAGCAACGGACGACCTGCTCAGCTGGAGAGGCTTGTCTTTGTCGTGGCTGGGACGCCTAGCAGGGGCGGACTGACACCTCACAGGGCCCTCGGGCAGTGGGTGATCAAGGGCCCACCCTCCTGGTCCTTGTACAAGGTACAAGGTTTTCTGGTCCCCTGCTATTCTTCTCTTCCTTCTTTTTGCTGCTTTTACACATATATTAGGTGTAGGCTGCCCAGCACACAGAATGGCTGTGTGAGAGCCACACATCCCTGACTCCCACATCACTGAGTGCCCCCCAAAATGGCCAGATTTACTTTTAAGGGGTTAATCCAACCAAAACCAGTGTTTTAATAAACACTGTTTTTGGATGGAGTAACCCTTGCTGGTGTGCCTCCCCAGCAATTAAAATAAAGAAATAAAAAGCAAATTTAATTACACACTTCCACTGATTTTTCTTAGGACATCACAAGCAGCATCCCCCACATGTACAACCTTACAACTAACCACATGTGTTTGGAGTCTACTTGTGGGGTTGCGTGTGTGGGGATGTTGTTAGTGATGTTGTGCTCCTGTATGTCAAAGTGTTGTTAGGATTAATCCTTTCTCTTGTTTTACCTATTGTACAGCGCTGCAGAATATGTTGGCGCTATATAAGTGATTGTAAAAGTTGTGTGTGTGGAAGCTGTGTGCAGTATTGCAATAGTGGGTATGCTGTTTGTGATGTGTATGTGAAGGGAGGCTGCATGTAATTTTGTATGTGTGGGGATGCTGCTTGTGGTGTGTCAATACAGTGAGGCTCCTTGTGGGTTTTTGCGTGTGTGAATGGGGCTATTTGCAGTGCATTATGTGAGTGGAGAGGGCTGGCTGTGTTGCAGTGTCTGTGGGATAGAATCTGTAGTAGGCATCTGGTGGTTACTGCGGCTATAGTGTGTGCGTGTTTGGGTAATAGAGGCTCTACTGTGTATAAGTTGGGGTAGTGTGTGTAGGGGGATAAATGCTGAAATAGGTGCAGGGAGGCACAGGGGCTGTGGTGGGCGCGGAGAGGCACGGGGACTGAAGTGGGGGTGGGGCTGGACAGATTATGAGGTGGGACATAGAGGTTGTGGTGGGCGCAGGAGTGGACAAAGGGGCTGTGATGGGTACTGAAAGTGATAGGGGCTATGGTAGTTGGAGGTGGCAAAAGGGATGTGGTGGGAGCATAGGGGCTTGGGTGGAAACATGGATAGGTAGGTCCTGGGGTGAGTGTTGGGAGGAATGGTGGCTGAGGTGAGTGCAGAGGGGCTGAGGTGGGTGCAGGAGCAGCTGTGGTGGATGCAGACAGGGCTGAGGTGGGTGCAGGGGGAGCTGTGGTGGGTGGAGGGGGGCTGAGGTTGGTGCAGGGAGACAGGCGGCTAAGGTGGGTAAAGGGAGAGCTGAGGTGGGTGCAGGGGGAGATGTGGTGTGTGCAGAAGGAGCTGTGGTGCGTGCGGGTAGACAAGGGGCTGTTGTGGGCACAGGATGGGACATAGAGGCTGTAGTGGGCACATGGAGGGAGATAGTGGCTGTGGTGGGTACTGGAAGGCATAGGAGCTATGACAGGTGGAGGTGGCATAGGGGCTGTGGTTGGTGCATAGGGAATTAGGTGGGTACAGGGATAGGTAGATCCTGGGGTGAGTGTAAGGAGGAATGGTGGCTGAGGCAGGTGCAGGGGAACTGAGGCAGGTGCAGGGGGAGCTGTGGTTAGTACAGTGGGGCTGAGGTGGGTGCAGGTGGAGCTGTGGTTAGTACAGGGGGACTGAGGTGGGTACAGGGAGACAGGGGGCTGAGATTGGTGCAAGGGGAGATGTGGTGTGTGGAGGAGGAGCTTAGGTGGGTACAGGGGGTTAAGGTGGGTATTGGGGGCTGCGGTGGGTACAGGGGGGCTGAGGTGGGAGCAGAGGTGGAAACAGGGGGCTGAGGTGGGTAAAGGGTGGCTGAGGTGGGTAAAGGGGGTTGAGGTGAGTACTGAGGGGCCGAGGTGGGAGCAGAGATGGGTACTGGGGGCTAAGGTGGGTACTGGGGGATGATGTGGGCTCTGAGGTGGGTACTGGAGGCTGAGGTGGGTACAGAGGTGGGTACTGGGGCTGATGTGGGTACATAGGGGGCTGATGTGGGTACAGGGGGCTGATGTGGGCACTGAGGTGGGTACTGGGGGCTGAGGTGGGTACAGGGGCTGAGGTGGGTACTGGGGGCTGAGGTGGGCACTGGGAGCTGAGCTGGGTACTGGGGGCTGAGGTGGGTGCTGGAGGCTGAGGTGGGTGCAGGGAGGCTGAGGTGGGTACAGGGGGCTGAGGTGGGTACAGGGGGGCTGAGGTGGGTACTGGCTGATGTGGGCACCTGGAGGGTGGGGGTACCTCGGGGCTGATGTGGGCACTGAGGTGGGTACTGGGGCCATGAGTACCTGGGGCTGAGGTGGGTAAATTGGGGCTGATGTGGGCACTGAGGTGGGTACTGGGGGCTGAGGTGGGTACTGGGGCTGAGGTGAGTACTGGGGCTGAGGTGGGTACTGGGGGCTGATGTGGGCACTGAGGTGGGTACTGGGGCTGAGGTGGGTACTGGGGCTGATGGGGTACCTCGAGGTGAGTACTGGGGCTGAGGTGGGTACAAGGTTGGCTGAGGTGGGTACTGGGGGCTGAGGTAGGTACTGGGGGCTGATGTGGGCACTGAGGTGGGTACTGGAGGCTGAGGTGGGTGCAGGGATACAGGGGGTGCTGAGCTGAATGAAAATTAGCTTACCTGTGCTGTCAGCCAGGCTGCTGCAGCTCCTTACCTTCGGGTGCTCTTCAGGCAGGGCAGGACGTGATGTCACTTCCTGGCCCCGCCTCTTCCTCCTCACACACAGCACAGCACCGCGGGGCTGGTGACCTGGCAGCAAGAACTGAATACTCACTGCCAGGTCTCCCTGAGAGAGGGGAAACGGGTGAGGGGGGGAGTGAGGGGGTTAACTACAGAGTGATATGCTGCAGGGGCCCTGCATATCACCGGAATAACAAAAAAATCATGTTGTTCTGGCTGAGGAGATCTCTGAGCATGGCTGTGCTGCCGGGCCCCTGACTGCCTCGGGCCCTCGGTCCATGACCGATCTGCCCGACCTGTCAGTCCGCCCCTGCCTACAACACTTGTTAAACAGATCTAAGTGATAGATTGATATTTTCTACACTAGAAACTACCAGATAACAAGCTGCTATATTTAAACCAGTTATCAATAGGTAAGAGGTACTTCAACAATATTGTAATTCTGGGGCAATACCCTCACAAGTCAAACTGAGAGGTCAGTTTATAGGGAAAACTTGCCTGGATACAATTCTAAAACAAATTTCCATATGTCTTTTGCAGACTTTACATGCTGGAAAAACACAGGTGCCAACTGCTCTGGCTTTCTGCAGTGTGCAGACCGGCAAGGAGGGCAGGGTTGAGCAGTGGGTGAAAGATAATGTGGAGGATGATGAGGTCCTAGACCCCACATGGAATCAAGGTCATGCGAGTGACGTGAGCAGTTTGGAGGAAGAGGCGCTGGTCACACAGAGGCACCAGCACAGCATAATAGGGAGCAGGGTGCAAAAGCGGAGCGGCTGTCCCCTAGCGCTCGTTGGCATGTATTAGCTCTAGAATTACCACAGTTATCCAAGTAACAGACAGAGCGATCAAAGGAACCATAACTGATTTAATGAGCCATTCGCAGTTTCACTGTAGCGGCTGTGCGTGCTTTCGGCGTTCTCACCCTGCTGCTGCTCGCCTGTCTGCGTTGCAGCATAACTTCGGCCTTCCCGCTCACCGCCTCATATGCGATGTGCCCACAAGGTTGAACTCCACCTTGCACATCATGGAGAGACTGTGTGAGCAGCAGCAGGCGATAGCAGTCGCTCTGCACCAGACTTGCCCTCCAATAGATCCTTGTTAAAGGATTTAAAGTGGACTCATTACAATTACAGGGCCTGGAAAGAGTCCTGTATTGTTATTTATCGTCACTACCACCCCGCGTCGGGAGTGGGTAATTTGCGCGCCTGCTGCGTTCCTTGTATGTGGTAGCCGTTTCTCAGGCTGGCTCTCCGGAATCGAACACTGATTCCCTGTTATCCGTGGTCACCATGGTAGGCACAGAAAGTAACATTGAAAGTTGATAAGGCAGACATCCGAATGCGTCGTTGCGGCCACGGTCACTGCTTCCTCAACCTCCTACTTCACATCCACCTCCTCCTCCTAGAGCAGGGTGCAAAAGCAGAGCAGCTGTCCCCTAGACAGTACACCTGCTACTGCCCACCGCACCCAGGGATTGAGTACACCAAAGCCAGCTCCAAGGAGTTCCCTGGCGTGGCAGTTCGAACGAGGAGAACCCAGTTGATTCCTGTGGCACCTCCCGATAGGCAAACAGGAGATGGGGCAGGAATCTCTCTCAAAGGTACGGAGCATTTGCTCACACTGGCCATTGGTCTGGGGGTGGTAAGGTGAGCTCAGGATTGGTTTAATGTACACAATCTCCACAGTTGGTGGGTCATTTCGGCAGTAAACTGGGTGCCCTGATCTGAAAGAATCTCCCGGGGAAAACCTATCCGGGAGAACACTCTCATCAAGGCTTCAGCCACAGTCTCTGCTTCTTCTGCTTCCTTGAAGTCTTTGAAGGCATTGTATGGTAGCTTGTGGGCCAGGGTGGTTGTGCTTCCCTATGCTTCCTTTTTCCTTCATCTGGGTTCATGGAAGTCACCCTCTCTATTGGCAAGGACATAGGCTTGCACCTCCAAAAAGGTCCTGCTGACGATCTCCTCTAAGGGTGACTCTCGGTAATATGCCAGGAGCCGGTCCACCTCCTTGCGTACTTCCTCCTCTTCTCCGGCCTCTGGCTGGGGTTCGTTGCCTCACTGCGTGCCTGGTCGTCCTCCATGAGTGCAGCAGTCAATTTGGCCTTGTTACGCCCTCCTCTGGCTCCACACAAGTCCTGCAGTGTAGGTCGCTTTAGAGCACTGTAGTCCATGGGTCTGTTGGCAGGGACATGGGATCCCGCCGCTTGCCACCAATTGAAGCGGGACCTGGGTAACCGATGGTTATCCCCTTTGATTAGAATAGGTCAGACCCATTTCCCCAGTAACCGGATGGGACACAGTTCCAGGATACATTTGACAATCTTTAATTGGGTATACAGCTTTGCCTCCTGTTGCCTCCTCCTCATCCTACTTTGCTTCCTCCTCCTCTACCACCTCCTCATCCGGTCAGTGCAACATCTTCACCACCAACTTCAGCACAGCCAGGGGAAAACGACAGCAGGCTGTTTTTAAACTCATATGTTTGGGGGAAAAACCCCACACTGCGCAGGAGCTGTGGATAGGCATAGAACAACAGACTGATGAGTGGTTGTTGCCCCTGAGGATCAAGCCCGGCCTGGTGGTGTGCGATAATGGGCGAAATCTCGTAGCAGCTCTGGGCCTAGCCGGTTTGACGCACATCCCTTGCCTGGCGCATGTGCTGAATTTGGTGGTGCAGAAATTCCTGAAAAACTACCCAGATATATCAGAGCTGCTGCAGAAAGTGCAGGCCGTCTGTGCGCACTTTCGGCGTTCTCACCCTGCTGCTGCTCGCCTCTCTGCGCTGCAGCGTAACTTCGGCCTTCCCGCTCACCGCCTCATATGCGACGTGCCCACAAGGTGGAACTCCACCTTGCACATGCTGGAGAGACTGTGCAAGCAGCAGCAAGCACAGGTCAGTCGCTCTGCAGAACAGCACCACTTCACCACCAATGAGTGGGCCTCCATGCAAGGCCTGTGTGCCATGTTGCGCTGTTTCGAGTACTCCACCAACATGGCCAGGGCCGATGACGCCGTTCTCAGCCTAACTATCCCGCTTCTATGTCTCCTTGAAAAAATGCTTTGGGCAATGATGGAAGAGGATGTGGCACAGGAGGAAGAGGGGTCATTTCCACTGTTATCAGGCCAGTCATTTACAAGTGGCTTGGAGAGTGGGTTCCTGCACCAGCATAGGCCCGGTACACAATTGTCCAGCATCTCCCATGGAAGCATTCAGCTGTCCATCTCCCCAACACTGGAGAGAAAGAGGAAGTACCCCCCACCCACCCACGATCCCTGGCCCTGAATGCCAGCATTTCAAAATTCCTGGCCTTTGAAATGCTGTCATTCTCTGGCTTTATTGGACTGCAAGAAATGGACCACAGGTCGCAAACGTTTCTTTTTTTATATGTCCCAATATTTTGGGGGCTACCCCAAAACAAACAGAAAAAAAAACCACAGTGTTGTCTACATCCTCCGCCTGCACCGCCATTTCCACCTACACCGCCATGGTCACCACCTCCTCAACCCCCTACTCCACATCCACCTCCTCCTCCTAGAGCAGGGTGTAAAAGTGGAGCAGCCGTCCCCTAGACAGTACGCCTGCTACTGCCCACCGCACCCAGGGACCAAACACACCAAAGTCAGCTCCAAGGAGTTCCCTTGCATGGCAGTTCTTCAGACAATGTGCTGATGACAAGACATGAGTGGTTTGCACACTGTGCAATCAGAGCCTGAAGCGAGGCATAAACGTGCTAAACCTGAGCACAACCTGCATGACCAGGCACCTACATGCAAAGCACGAGCTGCAGTCAAGTAAGCACCTCAAGGCTCCTCCTGCCTCCTCTTCTGCTGCTGTCTTGGCCTCTTCCTCCACCTCTGGAGTGACAGTGGCACCTGCCACCCCGCAAACAGAGGATGTGGCAACGCCACCACGTCCGCCACCGTCCACAAGCATCTCCACACTGTCCCATGGAAGTGTTCAGCTGTCCATCTCCCAAACACTGGAGAGAATGAGGAAGTACCCCCCTACCCACCCGCAATCCCTGGCCCTGAATGCCAGCATTTCAAATCTGCACAGTTTTGGGGCTTACTGTCTCCCCCAGGTACATTAAGCTGCCGCTGGGGAGAGGGGGTAACCAGCTCCTCTCCCATACATACTTCCAGCCGCGGGGGAGGGAGACCAACAGTCTCTGCTCCCAATACAGAGTCCTGCTGCTGGGGAAAGGAGACTGGGCTCTCTATTCCCGGTAGGACACTCTCCCGCTGGGGAATGGAGACTGGGCTCCCAATTCCCTGCAATATCTCCCGCTGGGGAATGGAGACTAGG